ACCCGAGGGAGATACGGTCTCCTCACCTAAATTGGCATCAACAACAGACTCAGGCACTGCCAATACGAGTTCGCTCCTCGAAGGCCCCCCGGTCGTGGGTACCCCATCGACCCTTATTCCTCGCCTCTTTAACGGAGCCTCTTCACCGTCGTCCTGAGATGTCTCGTCTACCAAATAAACCACGGGAAGCGGGGCCTCAGCCTGACGAGCATCCTCACAACAGCCAAACACGGGAGGGGCTGTAGTTTGTAAAGCAGCGGCGGTCTGAATGATCTCACATGCAGCCGCAATCGGTGCAGGTCCGGTCGAGAGACTTGACTGACGGAAAGCAAGCACCGAAGCACTCGCCCTCCTCGTACCCCGTCGACCTACCAAATAAGGAAGCTTAAACCAAAGAGGAAAACATAGAGCAAAGGGCAAAGCAACTAAAAGCAAGACGAGATGACTCACCAACTGAAGGTCTATGCCCGAATCTCTCGTGGAATGGCAACCATGCACGAATCCCCATCGTGTAGGGCAAAACCTGGCTCACCCACTCATGAATATCAGCGACTAGTAGGGGAGGTGCCTTCTCGGCTGAAAAATAGAAGGAAAAAAAACAATCAATTCACCGGAAGGGGACAACGAGCAGCCTCTTTCTAAAGTGTGTGTATATATATATATATATATATATATATATATATATATATATATATATATATATATATATATATATATATATACAAAAAGACACTCACGAGCAAAATTCCACTCCTCAGAAAATCCGTTAGGATTCGACACCACATGCTCCGTCCTCACAAAAAAAGAAGTTCTCCCAAAAGCGGCGATTAGTCTTGTCGTCCATCTTCACCACCAATCCTTTGGTCTCGCAGTGACAAAGAGGTATCATAGTACCCCTGTAAAAACTGGGTACGAAGAGGTGAGCAAATGGCTAAGAGAAATCCCCCGGCTAGCCAGTTCCGCGTACTTGGTGAGCATGAGGAAAAGTTTGTATATATATGGGGAGAGCTGAGCTGGGCACACCCCATAATAACGACAAAAGTCTTCCACCAGGTAAGGAAGGGGAAGTGTGTAACCGATGACAAATGGGTACGCATAAAACGCGCAGCACCCCGGGCAATGTACCTGCACGACGTTATTATCCGCGGGAACGAGTTCAACATGATCAGGAATTCTCCACTTGGCCTTAATCGCAGCAAGTGTCGCGGCGTCCATTACGGAAATAACGGTCTCAGGATCGGCGTCAGGTAAATGCTTGAAATCAATCTTGGCTTTCCCCGAGCGTGGAATTATCTCATCCATGGTGGGAAAATTCCCATCTTCCACAATGGTCGTCCCTTCCTCATGGGAGGGCATATCTGTTTCCGATGCAACGGTGCCGGCGACTCTATCGGATGTAGAAGGTGCACTAGCCATGTTTCTTCGGTTACGTAGGTGATGGGAGCTAGGGTAGAGGGAGTAACAATGTCAAGGAACTTCGAAAGAGAAAAGATGGAAACGTAAGAATCTGAGGAAGGAGGAAAGAGAAACCTGGAGTCTTTTAAATAATATACAAAAAACACAGCAACCCCAAATGAAGAATTTTCTCCTCTATTTATAAGAATACAAACATCCTTAGTGGGAAAACCAAACGCCGCCACGTTAATTCCAAAGCAGAGGAGGCACGGAAAACGACGTAACGTATAGGGAACATCTGCCATAATGACACATGAAGGATTGACGTCATTTCAAACTGACAGAACGGTCAGGTACGGCTCCCGAAGCATCACATCGTCATCTTGCTATGAAGGGTCGCTCTTCGGCCAATGTGCTCAGATTTCTCAAAAGGTGCAACTGGCGAAGTCCGTCCACCGAGCTCGCCCAAAGGCAATCCCGATGGGCGGAGGGACTAACTGTATGGGTCAAAATATGATCAAAGGAATTCTACTTAAGGAAGAGCAACCAAGAAGCAACCAAGCCGAAGTCGCGTGTAGGAAGCGATATGTCGGCTAGTGATTTGGCTACGGTCGAGGTCGAACACTCAATTCGGTCCGAAGTCCAGTTCAACACTTAGATATTCTAGAGGAATATTCTATGGGATATTCCAAGAACTTAGGTACTCCGGTTAAGGGCCGCTGGGTAAGGAAAGTAATTGGTATAAATATCATGAGAAAGTGTGACACAAAGGGAGGAGGACATACGCATACAAGAAGGGATAGATCCCTAAAAAGAGAAGGAGGCTCCCAAAACCTCAGGCTCCTGACCGAGAAAGGAGACATGAACTTAGAATCTCGACATGCATCTTTAATCTATTTTATCAAACGGACGGATAGCGGTCTTGTTTGAGCATGGTGATTCTTTTCCTTTATGTATTCCTCATTATCATTTGATATTATTGGAGCAATTATCTGTTTCTTACATTGTGAGAGTCAATTGCTGTTTTAATCAAAATTTATGTTTAGTTGTGCTTGTTCATTCCTATCATTTATCTTAGAATTAATTATCTTTGGCTAAAATTTACCCCAAATCTTTTTATTGAATTGGTTTAACTAAGAAGACCTAATACTTTTTAGTCAAACAAGGAGCATCTTTTGTCTCTAGTCTTTGCATATATTTCACACGGCTTAATTAGGACTTTCTTTTTGTGTCACGTATTAAAGCAAAAATATAATAGAAACAACAGATTCAACCTCATAAGGCCTAAAGCAATTGCTTTACTTGCTTTATGGAAGGGCCGCCCCTGCATACACATGAGATTAGGTTTACAGAAGTTCTAACATTATTTCTAATCACATGAAATTGTTACCTAATCTCACCAAGAGATCGTTAAGAAAAGAGAGAAGATAAGTGCAAGCAAAAGGAAGCCTACATAAATTGTACTATCTGGTATGACGTAAGTTATTTTGTAGAAACATGCCTATGGTGTTTGGTTGGTGTTAGAATAATTTCCGAAAATATATTTATAGCAAATAAGAGATTGTTTTGATGAATTTTGAGTTCTAATTTCTAAGTAATATATTTAATATTAGTTGGAGCAAGTTATATGAATTTAAACGTTAAAATAATTGTACGTAAAATGAACCTTTGCACACAAATGAAGAATGATTTTCGTCATACCAAATATACTACTCAAAGAGCTCAAAATATTTTATTTTGAAAAAAAAAATTATTAAGGGATAAAACATAAAGAATAAAATAATAGAATGCAAACCGCAAAAACAGCTACTGCATGTTATTGATGCCAAAGGCATAGAACACAGACTATGAACAAGGAGTTGCAAATATTTGTGCAATGCCCTGTAATTTAGTACCAACCTAAGTGAACCATAAAATTTATAAACGATAACAACAATAGCTAAGCCTCGTAAAGTGATGACGAAAACTTGTAAATATTCACTAGATTAAAATGACCGTTACATGTAACTGCTCTTATTTCCTCTCCTTTTAATATTCACAAATCATAACCGTGGAAAGAAAAATAGAATATCTATAACCGACCCCATGCTTTCCGCACCATAGAAATACAGTAACAACAATTCTCTTTCTTCCCCCTCTATTCTCGCTCCTTTCTTAAACATATTTAGCTCTTCATCTAACTTACTTTTTTCTTTCCACTATGATAAGTAAGATTCGAGAAATTATAATTATTGTATGAGAATGGAAACAAGCAAGAAAGAGGGGGTGTCTTGTACCAGGTTACAGAAGAAAGCACCCTCTTCTCTACAACTAGAAGATAAGATGAATGTGGATGGTAATTTCAGAGTACCTTCCAATTTCATGGAAGAAGTTTCCTCTCATTGTGCCATTCCTTTGTTATCTCCACTTATATTTTCTAGTACATCTCTAGATGAAAATGTCAAGTCATGTGATGATAACATTATAAATGGTACAGCCAAACATATCGTTCAGGAAAATAATGCTCCTTTGGAGAAAGCTGGATGGCAACATCCTGCCGTAGGGACATATACAGAACCTTCGACCATTTTCGCCTTGTTTCAGTCACAATGTGCCCTTGCCAACTCGGGGCGTTGAGGTTTATAGTTAATGAATTGGCTCCTGCAATTGTATAACCTGGTGAATTAGACGTGCTACTTTCCAAACTTATTTTCTTATGATATTAATAAGTCGAATCTTTCCCTCTTACATAATAGTAAGAGGTTAAGGATCGCGTAGTCTGTTTGTTTTGTTTACCTTGTAAACATATCTTTTCTTCTTCTTTGTATTTCATCTGATTTTGGGTAAATCATGCAACTATATTTAGGTGCAAAGGTCTTTCTTAGCTTCCTAACTGTTTGAGAGGAAACTCTGCCTCCACATTGCCGTCATTAATAAAGTCACCATGTTTTGGAAACCAACTGGATGATCATTACTTGATAAAAATCTGAGAAGGGCAATTTTTTAATATCTTACCTATAAAAGAGATAGCATCTTAAATATTACGGTGAATTCCTCCTCGTTTCTGTTTCATTTTTTCTCCCCAAGTTAACCTATCTTCACCAGTGCTGCAAATTAACGCCTTCCGCATGGATTTTCCTTATCCAAACATTTAACTATAAATAAATCAAAGTCAAAAGGAAAGCGAGGTCCATTAATTCACAGCCGAGTGGCTTACACCAGGGGATATAGTAATCAATGTTTACACTAAGCCACGTCAATTTACTATTAGATTAGAGATGCATGCGCAGTAAAGAGATGTAATGTAGGTGCGAACAAACTTTTCCCGATAAAATTACCAACAGGCTGATGGCTTGACCTTATTTCAATGTTTTTTCTTCTATAATTTCCAATTGCTAGCACAGAGGTAATAAATTATAAGGTAGCCGTTTTAACCACAGAAAAACGAAATCCAACCTTCCTCCCAAACACAAGTAAGAGCTGCAATCAAACTCAATTGTCACAAGTCACATATCACAACACATGCAAATTGGGAATATATTAGCATGACTGATCCAAGAAGTACACAGTTCATGGAACTATCCTTGGGGTATCATGAGCGCAGTTCAGCTAAAACAACATAGACAAGAGAAAAGAAAGATAACACCGGTATTAAATTAGCCAAGATGTTCCAAAAGCGTACAACACAGGAAAATTATACATTTCCTCTCAGATCAAGTTCAAAAGATCAACAAGTAATCCATATGGCCAAGCAGCAGCTCTTTTACTATATATATACACTCGGCCAACGAAAAAACTTCTCTAGCAATGAACATTAAGCAACTTAGTCTCCTGGAGTTTTAACTTCCATTAAAATGCCAACAACAAAATAAGTAATCAGCTTGATCGGTTCTTGAATTTGAGCTCCTTTACTGCCAAATTAGATTTTCCTTCAACTGCCTCAGAAGTCAAACTCTCCAGTTGCCTGGACAAGTAACCAATGAACCAAATACATCAACTCAAGGATAAAAATAACAGTAACAAAGACAAGGGACCTTTTTACCAAATAAAATAAAATGCAAATCAGAACAGAAGGTTCTAAATCCAACCTTATTGAAAAGAATGTCTTTATTATTTATGTGCATTATGCCATCCTTAAGGGTGCATTTCCACCTGCTCTTTGTACGTGTCACCTACAGAAGCTTGTATCAAGTCAGCTTTGTAGCACATCAAGACGACACTTCTGTTTTTCATGATAAACAACAGAATGGGGCATACAAAATCTTCAATTCAATACATTAACAAAAAGGATATCTTAACCTTGTCAAACTGAGCCAAAACTAGATGCGCTGTGTTTAGATCCTCCCCTTGGTCCACATCATCAAAATCATCGTCATCGTTTTCATTCAAGGGCTCATCATCATCATCAACATCATCATTCTGAAGGACAGGAGCAGGAGTAGGCGCTTGCATATCTAAAGGATGCAATGCAGAGGTTGCAGCAGTATCAGGAGGAGGATAAATTATAGCCATAAAGACCATGTAGCTGAGAATAAATTACCATTTGGTGCTGGTGTGTTGACTATATTATAGTCTTCATTGACCACCCCTTGATAACCATAGATCTTCAAGTTGGGAAAAAACAAATAAGGTTACTAAAATACCATTCAAAAGCTATCAGATTTCATGTTTGTCAAATAAATATGACAATGAGAAGAGAATAAAGAAGTTCTCATCTTCACTCCAATAAAAGAGATGGAAAGCTTCCACAAGCACTATACATTATAGGATAGGCACAATAGCAAAAACAGATTATATTTGTTATTCAAAACATTATCTATGCAGACAGGAGTCAGAAACATGCACACTAGGCGACACTTCAATCTATTAGTTGATCATAGTCCAGAACTGACGACAGAATCTAGGAATGGATGTGGCAGCTAATTATTCGTGAAAAAGATAGCATATCTCAGTCAAAAGTAGAATAGAGTTGCATTAGTTATTTATTTACTCATTTCATCATAAGTTGTATAACCATGTGACTTTTCACGTAGGTAAAGAGAGAAGAGTTTCAATAATTTGTTATATTTGACTTTGTATAAGAAAATAGAAGGAAGACGTGAAAGGTTATGAGATTGCACATCAAATTCTGACTGCCCTTTAATAATAGAATTGCTTTCTAGTGCGCTTCGCCATTGAAGGAAACGAAGGTTTTTGTCCTGGTCAAACTAAACAGAAATTAGGTCAACCATAATGGATCAGGGCATGCTGTTCTTATTAGTTTCTTTTGCTTTTTACAAGTAAAAAGAAAACAGCATTAGTTTACATTGGCTTGAATTCTTAGATACAGAAAATTTTGGCCTTTAAGCAGAAAGGTCAGGTAGTTTGGATGGACATATCAAGCAGAGATAAGAGGTTCCCATTTTATGAGAGTAAAGTCGCCTGCTGAAAATTCATATCTAAAGTTCTATACAACCATGCATTTTTCATCCAAAATCAGTGTGGAAGGAGGAGGAAGAAGAAGAACAAGAAGTTTTGCTGGATTTCTCCTGCTGGATCAGTAGTTGCACCACTTTTAAAAACAGCTCCAAACCAACCCAAGCATGCCTTATTCAGTAGAACACTTGACTCAATGCTATCCTATTTAAATACATGCATATGTTATTTCATTCAAAAGAAAAAACATGCATATGTTACTGTATCTCATTGAAATAAGCCCTTTATCCACATGTTCTCCCTTAAGCACTGAAAATACCTTTAAAAACCTATGTTGCTAGGATATGGGTGCAGGTATCCAATACGGCTGCACATCTAGGGGTCAGATTCTTCATCATATAAATTTTAGAATTCAGGGACACAGATCGAAGTACAGGTAAGGGTGTGGGTTCTGGGATATCGCTGATAAATGTATATCACGACATATGTGTGCGAATGTGTGTGAGAGAGAGATTATCCCTAAATCAAACCAAATACCAAAGCCATCGTCAAAGCACCCAAGTTAGGTAGGCCAAATCTAGTTCGGATCCCACACCCACACCCAAATAGTGTCGGATGGGCACGAGTACAACAAAGATTTTGAAGGATCCAAGCAACATAGTTCAAAATTCAAAGGCATTTGAAATTCATTCTGTGTCAAAGGAAACTTTCAAAGCACCTAAAAAAATTAAAATGCCACAACGAAACAAAAGCAGATACATACCACATGGATGAAAACTGCAATTAAAATGCCACATGTGCAATCAAGAGGGTAGCTACGCCTTGAATAAATAGGACAAACACATGACCTTTGTATAGCATGTAAATATATATGCCTTTGGATGACGATGATACATAAAAGAAGAAAAACTCACATTGGGTGTCGAAAGCGCTTCGTCGTAATGGTCAGTTGGACCATCAACTTGAGGAATTCTAGAAGCAGCAGCCTGGATAGAGGTCACCAACTCAAGCTGAATAGTGTTGCCTTCACCAGCCTGTATAGGACAAACCAATACATCTTGTTCTTATAATAGGTTGGTATTTTAATTTGGAAAATAGAAACATAATTCAAAAGGGTATCACGAGTTGCAGTGCAACTAATCAGACAAGTAGGGCACCACTAAGCTAATCCTCTAATTTTGAAATTCCGCACCAAGAGCTCTATTCTTAACAATGTCAGCAACTCCACTCTGTTCGCCTTGTAGGAGTAAATATTCCAAGAAATGACTCGTGATATTGACCAAGTAACCAACCAACTTTTCTTCCCACCCCCAACCTAACCCAAACGAGAAGTAGGGATGAAAAGCAGAAAAAGGGGAGGTTTTTACATCCATGAATATAAAACATATTTCACCTAGTATTTAAAAGTGAATGTGTGGCCATACAAGATTGGATATTTTATTATAGGTAAGAGATTGGATATCATATTCTACAGAAGGTGCAAGCACACAGATGATAAAATGAGCAAATGTCTTCTGTGATAGATTGCACATGTCCAATGTAAGGTGTTAAAATGGGACAAGTTAGACCTAAAATAACATGGTAAATTGTTGTTCTAAAAGTCCTACAATTTTGTCGAAATCAATAGCTAAGTAAAGAACAAAATAGAAGCAACAGACACATATAGGTGATACTAATTAGTTGGAATTAAGGTTTAGTTGTGTTGGAATTAAGGTTTAGTTGTTGCTACACTCTAGTTAGAGATAAATCGGGCCCAACATTGCATGCACCTTGACTATCCACCAGGTACCTGCTACCTCCCACCAGCATAGGTACCGGGTGACTCTATCCACCAAGAATTAGGCAGATGGAAGAAATCACCTACAGTGAAATGAATTAGGCTAGATAGAGTACAATGATTACAAAGGATACATCGAAACTAGTTTGGATTTGAGGCCGAGTTGATTGATTGATACATTTTGACGAATTCAAGACATCATAGCAACCAAGAGACATCAGAACCGCTAGAGAACAAAGCAAAGCTGGATGTGCAAAATCACAAGTTTTACCCATTCGGAGGAGCTTATATTTAAACATTTAGGGTTGTACACTGTTACATTTTTATCCGGTTGTACCAGCCTTGAACTCTTGACTTAGTAGTGTGAAAAGACTCCCTCAACCACTATGACAAAGAACGACCGGTGGCTGTACAGTGTTGCATTGTTTAACCATACAAGTACAAGTCCTTTCCGCCTACATTTAAATAACCTTGGCCCCTCTTTATTTCCATTAAACAAATGCTCTCTGCAGCTATAGTTCTCATATGATCACAAGTCTTGTTTGCTATAGTTATCCAAGAGTTAATATCATAGGTTTGAAATATATGCAAGTATCTCATTCAGTGAATAAGCAAAGCCCTGCCTTCATGATGTCATATATTGAGTCTACAGCACCATCCTGTTGAGGTATGTATCCCCCATTGTTATATTGAGATGCAAAATCTTCCCTTTTCCGCTTTCCAGCAGCCGTCATAAAGAAGTCCTGCAATTTAGCTGACATCAAGACCAACTCTGAACCAAAGGTAACATGTTCTGTAGAGGCACTATGTTACGCACAAAGCCAAGGGAAAGGGCAAATACAATGGTAGAGGACGTTGACTTAATGCATAAATAGACGTGTCTTGTGTATACATGAGGGTTGAGAATTGCCAGATTCGAATCACACTTGAATATTTCCTTCCCTGGAGCTATATACATAATACCCAATTACATCCAACATGATGATGTAAACTCAATATTATGCAGACAGAGTATCAAACACCTACTCCCTCTTCCCCACCCTAAAGAACATAAAACATGTGTCCAATACACGGCAGCATTCTGATTCAAAATTATGTATTAGGCAGCAATACATACTAACTAGCAAACTTACTAATTTTTGCATTGAGACCAATAAAAGCAATAAAACAAGGGAGATCAATAAATTCTAACTAAAAGTTATGCAAGCCCGATCAGCAGCTAAACAACCTCATGTTCCTCACCGTCTAATAGTTATTACAGTGACAAGAGCTAAGAAAGCTTTCTAACAAGAAGAAAAGGGCTATATGAGAAGGGCAGGGATCCCTTCTCAACTCCCAAGATAAGCAACTGTACAAGTTCCACAAAATATTACAAAATCAGTTTGGGAGTTTCTAAGGAAAGAAGGATTATCTTTAAACTTTGAGAATGGCATGCTGAAACAAAGTGGACTATTTTGCTTTTAGTTGCTCTTGCTTGCATGTCTACTAGTGAGGAAATGTTCCAGGTGTAAATTCAAGATTAGTATATATACTCCCTCCGTTTCAGTTTCAATTTAGATGAGGTAGTTTGACTTGGCACAAAGTTTAAGGAAAAAAAAGAAAGACTTTTGAAACATGTGGTCCTAAAAGCTTAAGGGGCAAAAGCTTTGTGGGGCCATGGCATTTGTGGCTACAAAAGCTTCTCATTAAGGGTAAAGTGGGTAAAATGAAAAGTTTAAAGTTGAATTGTTTCCAAATATAGAAATGTGTCATTCTTTTTGGAACAAACTAATAAGGAAAGTGTATCATCTAAATTGAAACAGAGAGAGTAATATATAATGTGTGTGTGTGTGTGTGTTAAACAAGAACATCATGTGACACAAGTTACAAGAAGAAAGACGACATGTGGCCTTTCTTTCTTTAGCAAGTATATAGAAGCATAACATTTCACCTGAGTCATGGGTTGCTGAGAAGCTCCGCGATCAACTTCTTCTCGTCCTTCAACATAAGCTGCAGCAGGAGGAAAGCAACTAACGCTTAATATACGTAATGCATCAAAATGCTTGCTTCCATGGAATATATTTAAATATTTTCCTCACCAACATTAACATCAAGGGGAGGCCTTTGATTCAACCAAGGGGAGGGTGGTTGCTGCACAAGTCAAAGCAAACATTTTCAATACCATACTTATCTGGAAATCAGAATACTTGCAGCAACAGGAAAATGGGAAAGGCCATCAAATCATCCTATTAGAAAAACTAAATGTGTGCATGTGGAAAACATAAATCTTACCAAACCACATGCATCATACAAAACAGATTGATAACCTTTGTACAGAATACAGCAAAGATAGTTAAAATGCCTACCATAAATGGGCTAGGTCTCCCTGGACCGCCTTTCATCTCAGTTGCACCACCAGTATCATTCAAAGAAGAGTACTCATTAGGTGTAAAGGGAGTACTGCCACCTGTAGGAATATTATACATTGAGCTGCTATCTGCTGTTCCAGGAAGAGGTGTTTGGGCAGTTCCCGGGAGGGGTGTCTGCACTGTTCCAGGTAGCGGTGTCTGGGCGGTACCAGGCAACGGAGTCTGTAATGGAGTCTGCAAGTAGACAATATGCATGTGTCAATTTATGAGCCCCCAAGAGTTGCTTGCTTTTCAATAGCTAGTAAAATCCGGTACTCACTGGAGGAAACAGTATATCGGCAGTGGGAGTTTCATACTCCTCAGTGCCTTCATAAGGCACATTAAGGTCATGAACAGGGGTTGTTATTGGACCTCCAGGGGTCCCTTTCGGAGCTGGATTCCTCTCTGTTGTACCCAATATTGCCCCAGCATGCATCATTTTCATCTCCCACAACTGAAAAAATGACATTAAACTATCAAACTTAAAACCCTTAAATTCACCTAATTGGATCCAGAAAGAGACCCAATTAGTAATCAGATCAACCAAAAAAAAACCACTAGAATAGTAACCAAATCCGCATTCAGCTAAATTTAAACCCTAGAACCTCTGCAAATTTCATAAATCGCGTCATTAATTTGCTAATTAATGAAAAATTCGATTGAAAAAGAAAAGAGAAATTACTCCTTGGAGCTCGTTGAGGATACTCTCTCCGGGACCACCGTTGTTGATGAACTCATCACGGACCTTGCTGATGACATCTTCGATGACGTGAATGTAAACATTGCTCGTAGTCGAACTCGCCATTCCTCCGAATCTAACTTTTATCAGATAAATTGACGGATAAGAATAAATAACGATCTTACGGAGCTAAACCCTAAACGACTGATAGGACATGGGAGAAATTAGGGCCTAGGGTTTTCGAACGCCGGTGAAGGGTTTGAAGTGAACGGAGCGGCGGAGAGAGAGATTGAAAGGATAGGGGAAGAGCGGAAGTGAGATGGAATAAAAGAGTGGAATATAAATAGGTTTGCATCCGATTAGTTGCGTGATATACACGTGGCGAGATCTGGTAGCTCCGAACTTTTCTGTTTATTTTGGGGAAAAATAGAAATTTTAGAAACTTGGAGATTTTATTATGAGACAAAGACATGGGTGGATCAGTTTAAGCGGCCCAGAGCTGCGTCACCGACTCAACCACCAGTATTCCCAATTTCCCGTAGTTCACTTCATTTTAGGGAAAACCCGGATTTACCCCTATATTAGTGGTATATATATACATAATTTATATTTGAGTTTTTGACCAATATTATTCCTATTGTTTCACCCTGACTTTCATTACATCATTATATTATCTCACTTAACATGCAACATTACTTGTATTTAGCGAACTTTACCAAAAATATCCTTCTGTTAACTTTCCATCTTTTTCTAACAAAATCTTTTATTGTCACGTGAATTTTATATAATCTTTCTTTGCTTTTCGCAAACTCTTTAAAGAACAAATGCCGACTGCTGAAGTTGTGAAGTCTCTGGAGTAATATTAGACTCTTGATAAAGATGTTAGACTATGAGGGTGCTCCGGTTAATCATCTTCTTGAAACCTCAAAAATCTAGTTCATTTGAGACACTTAAGTGCGAGGAAAACTCATCTGAAGGTAGTATCAAATTCAATTACCAAGCATGTTCAATTTGCAGATTCTTGACTTAACAATGCACCAAAGTTTCTTAATATCCTTCTGAGATTGTTGTTGTCCATAGCATGGGATATCTTGAGATATTTTATTGAAATCGCCAAAATGAAATAGAACTTGATTGAGGATTCCAAGTAATTGAGCGTTTAGTGCGGCTGAAGAATTGTATTTTGTAGTAAGCATATGACGTTGACAATAGCGCATTAAAAATATAAAGAACTTAAAGCAAACTAAGAAAATTAGCCTTTTAAACATCCACAAGTACTATACATGGAGAGTACTATGGGTCTCGGTCAAGGTAGTTACTTTTTTTCTTTGAAGAGCTCATGTGGAACTAGTTAAAAGATAAAACAAAGAAGCATTGCACGTGAGAAAGAAAACTGCATTAGAAAAGATGGAAAAGTTAACATAAGGATATTTTTGGTAAATTTTCAAAACATAAGGATTGTTATCTTGTAAGTGAGCTAGTATAAGAATATAATAGAAGCTATGGTAAATAATAATGATGATACTGATTGAAAAATGTGTCATGACCCAATTTTTTCTATAGGCCGTAATGGCACCCAACGTTACCGCTAGGCAAGCCAACTGTGAACTAATTATGTTGTAGTTTCTTTTAACAATTTAGAAATAGTTAATTTTTAATAATTAGATAAATAAAAAGTGAGATACTTCATAAAATGAAGAGTAAACGATTTGAAGAACACATATGGTGAAATAAGTACCCATAAATCATCAAGTGTCTACTAGCATATTTTTCAAGACCTGATGTAACAAATATATGAACTACTAGTAGAATATACAAAAATACTAAGCTACTGTCTGAAATAAAATAGAGAGAAAGAAAATACAAAAGAAAGACTTCGGGTGCAGTAGAACGGGCTTGGAAGGTAGCTCATCACAAAGTCTCGAAGTATTAGGAGTGCATGCCGGGATGATAACCAGATGCACCTGCCTCAAATCCTGCACGGTTAGTGCAGAAGTGTAGCGTGAGTATATAAACAACATGTACCCAGTAAGTATTGATGATAGGTGAATTTGACTATAATCACACCTTAAATAATCACCTTGTTGTGTAGTTTTAATGCTAAAAGTGATAACAAAATGCTCTTATTAGTGTTTTTCATGATTTGCAGGTGATATATGTATAAGGAAGGCTAAGGAGCAGTTTTGGAGTCAAAAATTGGAGAAAGAGGCCAAATGTGTAAATTCCCAATGAAGCTACGCCCTGCCAGCCCTTAGGATTCAGAAAAATGGTTTGGCCGCGGTATCGGTCAATTAGCAATAATTTTTCTGTGGACTTCCGGAAATCTGTTTCATGTAGCTTCGCGGCAGAACTGCGGTGGAAGGCAGCTTCAGAACTTTAGAGATTCAGAGAGGGTGATTGGCCGCGGTTCTACCGCGACCGCGGCAGGCGCAGAAAAGTTCAGGGGTCAAAGTGTCAAATACGGGATTTTTAGACCTAAACCCTATTTAAAACATTAGACTTCGCCCAAGAGAATTATTATTGATTTTTAGGGTTCCTTAGCAAGGAAAACCATTGTGAGAGAATACTCAAAACATCTTTCTTCTTTACTTTTGATTTTTATGATGAATTCTATCTTAGTTTATTTTCCCATAGCCATGAGTAGCTAAATTCCTTGTCTAAGGTTTTGATGGAACCTATTGGGTGATGAACTTCTTGTTTATGTGAATACAAATTGCTAGTTTAATCTCTATTTGTTCAACTTCGTGTTTGTTGTAGCTAATTGACAGGATCCTCAATTAGTTGTGCCTATTTAGTGTGCATAACTTGGAAAAGAGTGCATATTTAGGGTATTATTGAACAACACCACTCCTAGATCATTAGAGAAATCTATAATTGCGGGTTTAAAGGCGGGATTAGGGATAACGAAGCCTTGGGTGTAATCTAAAGTGAATCGTGCTAAATAAAGTAAGCTAGTGTATCTCGGGAGAGTGCAATAGTAAATTACTGTGATTACTCGGGAGAGATTTACGGTAAGATTAGCGTTCATGATTGATAGAGATGTGTTGGTAAATTTGTATGAGCATAAACAGAAGGGATTCCATCAATAGGGGAAATCATTGCCTTAGCTTTTTATCATAATTGTTAACAACCTTATTAGTTTAGTTTACAGCCATTTAGTTACTTGCAAGCGTAGTTGTTAAAGAACATTCAACTGAGATTTGAATATTTGGGAAGCTGGTTCTGAAGAATTAGTGGGTCTGAAGATAGTGGCTGATAGGTTAACTCTCTGTGGATTCGACCCTGGGCGTAATACTCGGTTTATATTTGCAACGTCCGCAGAGTCCTTTTTATAAGGCATAGTTGGGCGTGATCAAGTATCTAGTCTAACCTCGAAGAAGTAGTGACGAGGGATCAACTCCGACACTTACTATGGGCTAACAATAAAATACCGAAATTCTAAATAAGTGTGGCTTATGTAAACAATAATAGCAACTCATTAACAAGCAGGAATAAATAATTCTTTCACAATTAATAAATTCCAAGCAAATTTCGGTCATTTATAATCATAACCTCACAAGCTATAAAATAATATCAACTATAATTAGGTGCCGAGTATTATTAAGCACGATTTATGCCACGATCGTACGGTCCGATCCAGAATAACGTATACACTGCCGAGGGACGTGCGACACGATCCATAGATGCATCTATTCTAATGCTGAGGCGTTCAGCCCGCTCCACAAGAAATGAGGATACTTTATAAACATTTGACTTAAATGTTATTGCAAGGCTAATACACAATGTAATACAATTTTCATTAACGGTCAAATAATCCGCTCTAAATTCATGCAAGTGATATTCGATCTGTTACAATTCCTCTAACAAGTTTTAATATAATTTAAGCACTTAAATTAACAAGTAGGGTACAAACATTACAAGTAATTCATGATTTGGGTCCTAAACTACCCGGACATAAGCATAAATAGTAGCTATGCATGGACTCTCGTCACCTCGTACGTACGTAGCCCCCACAATTAGAAGCAAATATTAATTTAAATCACCTATGGGGTAAATTCCCTCTTGCAAGGTTAGACAAGAGACTTACCTCGTTTCAAAGCTCACTTTCCGGCCTCAAATTCACTCCTAAGCCTCAACTTGGTGCCAGACAATCCAAAACTAGTCAAATGTTGGATAAATTAACCAATACATGTTCAAAAGTTCATATTCTAACTATTAGAGTGATTACCCAATCCCAACTGAAAGGTTCCTAAAATTCATCCCCGGGCCCACGTGTCCCGATTCCGGAAATTTTTGAAGAACATGCTACACTTGTTGCAGAACAAGGGACTCTTTTCTGGGACACAAACAGAAGATCCTCAGCAGCACTTGAAGAACTTCCTGTCTATATGCAAAACTCAAAGGCAACCCAACGTGACTCCGGAAGCAATCAGGCTATTATTGTTTCCGTTCTCGGTGACAGGAGCTGCTCAGGTTTGGCTAAACTCGCTCCCCATAAACTCTATAGAAACTTGGGATGAGTTGGTCAAGCAATTTCACAACAAGTTCCACCCGCCCAACAAAACTGCGCAACAAATTGATGAGATTGTGAGTTTCAAACAGAAACCAATGGAGACACTACACGAGACATGGGGCAGGTTTAAGGGAATGTTGGTTATGTGTCCCCACCATGGTGTTCCAGAACAGATGTTGGGACAACGATTTTACATGGGACTGTCAGACAGCATGAAGAATATCGTAGATGCCTCTGCTGGTGGGGCATTCTTGAGCAAGACTTGGAGAGAAGGTCAGAATTTGCTCGACAAGATGGTGCAGACTTCGGGTTGGACAACTAGGAACGCACCTATCACTCCAGTGGTGCACTCAGTGCCTCTCGATCCTTCTAATACAATGGCTGAAAATATGGCGACTCTCTTGACACAAATGAGCATCCTCACCAAAAAAGTGGAGGAACCAGGGCAGAAGCAGCAGGTTCATATAGTAGATACTACCAATGGGGGCTTGTGCACATCTTGCATTAGCCAGCCAATTGGTAATCCTTGGAATACAGAGCATGATCATCATCATCAGCACCCTGAAGATATGAACTATGTGGCTAACTACGGGGGTCAGAGGCAAGGTAATCAGAACTGGGGTCAGCAGACTCAGCAGCAGTACAGGCCACCTCAGCCACGAGTATAAACCGGCCGGAAAACGATGGGGAGGCAATGAACGACCCCCTAAACAACAGTCGGCAANCGTGCGACACGATCCATAGATGCATCTATTCTAATGCTGAGGCGTTCAGCCCGCTCCACAAGAAATGAGGATACTTTATAAACATTTGACTTAAATGTT